AGAAGAAATCTTTCAAAGAGAATCAAGTAATGAATTGTGTCATATACTGCTTATGGGTCAGGGGAGATGCAGAATATGAATTTCGATGGCATAATATGGATAAAAATTTGACCATGTTCTTTCCTTGTCCCAGGTTCCTGTATTTCAGTCACCATTCACTGTCTTTTCATTCAGCCCATCATTTATGTTGTACATCTGGCCCTCCAGGAGAATCTCAGAGTCTTTGTCTCTTCTGCTCAACTCTGTATTTTCGAGCACTGGAATATCTTTCCAATAAACTATTTGCAAAAAGAATGGGTAAAAGGCCAAAGATGATTGGATGAGTAAATAAATGAGGATTCAATGGAGCCATTAGAGAGAATGAATAGCTGTGTTGTCACTTTTTTTTTTATATCAGGACTTAGAATAGCTTTTCATCAGTATTATTTCTCAAAATGAGAACTTAATCATTTAGCCAAAGGGCCACAACATCTGCCTTACCACATATATGACAGAAAGTGTGAAATCACAATATAACTTTTAGTAAGTCTAGATGTGTCATCACAATCTGTTTTGATCTATTGCTCTAGGTAGTCAAAAACAATTGAATGGATACAATGTAAGACATAACTTAAAACATGTTTGTTGAGAGCTACCTAGTACCTGGAAATAGAAGTTCCATTTAATTATATTACACAGTGAATGAGAGTAGTACGTGCACCTCTTATATTATTCAATTTGTGATATAATGGAGAAATAGACAGTAAACAAATGTAAAGTATACTATGTAGAAATTAGATTCATTCTATTGTACACGGGATAATCAAAATATACTCTGAATGTTCAGATAATTAAAAGAATGTATTCCAGGAGGATGCATTATTCTTAATCTTTCTTAAAATACTCCCATGTTGAACATACTAATTCTATCATTCTTTTTTTTATTTTAAAGAGGGTAAAACAAAAATTTTCAAAAAATTGCAAAAAGGTAAAAAACTACTCAAAAGGGAAAACTAACTTGGATAGAGCAAAGAAAAAAAGATTCTATCATTCTTGCCATTCTCTGCAATAGTTCTGGAAGTCCTCTTTCCTGTTTTTACAATGTGTAAATAAAAATACAGTGAACACTGAGAGCTACTGCAGTTTGATCAAAGCATTATGTTGTCTCTTCAACCACCAGTTATTCACCATAACTGGCACCATGTGATTTCTGGCTCCTCCTCATGAAAGGACCATGAACAGTAAATGATGGAATCAATTCAGGACATTGAGATCACTCCAATAGTGCAACTAAAGACACTCACAGAGACAAATTCCAGAGTTACTTCCGGAAGTGGCAAGGGCTGTAACATACGTGTGTTTGCAGGAAATTCTGATGGAATTAACATAATGTGTTTTGTTTTTGTTTGTCACCATGAAGTGGAAGTAAGTTGCTCATCAACACACTTAATTTTAGAAAAGGAATATGTCTTTTATTGTGATAAATTAAAAAAATAAATATATTTTTAATTATTTTATACCTATTTAAATTATACACTAGCTCTCTTTAACTGAAAAATATTCATATCTTAATGGCTAATCCAAATATAAATTTTTTTATAAATGAAAATGGTAGTGGGTACTCTGTTCTTTGAAGTCATTCATTGATTGAGGCTAACAGGGTCGCTGATCTTGGAATGTGGGTCCTCGTATCACTTTGGGCAATGATATCTAAATGATACTGAGGAATCTCATAGAAGATTTTATAGAGGAGGTGTAAAGTGTGGCAGATCTCACTGTCCTATTATTAAATTTCATGGTACATCACATGCAGGGGCACTTGGAAATGTAGTTCTTTTCTGGGCAGCCATTAGGCAGAAAGGATAGAAGAGAAAAGCCATCTGTGCTGAGGAGGAAGTGCTCCCTGCCACCTTCCTTCAGAAAAATTTGGGCTTAGTGGTCACCATTTGAGTGGAGACATGGAAGACGTGATAGAGTAAACCATGTAGCTCTCCCGATGAAGGAACATGAGGCAGAGAATAGCACGTGTGAAGTAACTGAGCAATGAGTGGGGGGTCCTTTTAGAGCAACAGCAAGAAGTCTGGAGTAGGGAGTATGTATTGGTGAAACAGAGAGCCAGGAGAGGGGACACAGAGGCACATGGACAGACCCCAATATCTAATAAGCTGCTTTCACAATTTCAGATTTACCCTGCGTGAGGTGAGTTGCAGGGTGACTTCTAAGCATTAGGCGTGATATAATATTGTTCTGAGGAGAAGTATTCTAATACTGTAAACAAATTATACCAGCATATGAGCAGAAACAGGGAGAGGAGTTACAAAACTGATTCAATAGCTGAGTCAGAAAGAGTGGTTGGCGATTACAAGAAGTGATTACACTCAGAGAGAGAAATACATAGGTTGCATTTTGCTCATAATATCAATGCTTCCTCTGAAACTTACTGTAACCTTTTAAATCTACACAATATTAAAGAAACAATAAAGCGAATAATCATATATATATATATATATATATATATATATATATACCTTTCTCCTATTCAATTTTTATTTTCCTGCACTTGCTTTAGCTCCATATATCTATGTATGTAATTAAATATAAACACATGTTCAACTCTTTATTTTTGCTTTCAATGCATTTTAAAGTACTTTTTAAAAAAATATCATGACCTGTCATTCCTCAAAGCTGAAGTGAAGCTTTTACGGACAAGAATATTAGCCTACAAAACAATATTGAAAATAGCTTAAAGGCAGAATAGGCAGGACTTCTTGATGGATGTTTTAGTGTGCAAGAGCAAGACAGAATCAAAGACGCCTTCAAAAACTTTGGCATGGGCGACTGGAAATATAAAAATGGCACTTCCATAGATAGAATACTGCAAGAGAAGCTAGTTTGGACTCTAAGGGATTAAACTTCTTGCCATTATTGTCCAGCCTTGGTTGGACAAGCTATAGTCTAAAATCTTTGGGGTATGAGGAATTTCTTGAACTCCAGAAAATACTGTACTGACAATATAAAACTTCAAGATATAGATGCCATAACTATTTTTGGTGAGATAATTTTATAAGACTTCTGAATGGAGAATAGAGGTATCGCATTTGATGCCTACAGCAGAATTCCTCCCTCAAATTCCTGGAAACTAACAAACACTTGTTAGGTGTAATATGAAAATGTACACAATAGGTAAATTTCTAGAACTTTTAGGGCTAATGGCCATTACTAGAATTATTTCTAGTTCTAGTTTGTCATGCTGTTTGTAGATTTTAGATTGATTCTGCTTGCTATTGTATTCTTCAAAGGGTTTCTAGAAATAGGTGAAGCAACGTGTTCATGTCCAGTGGAATAGAAAGAGAAGATGTATAGGTTATAATTTCCTTTTTTAAGTGTGGTTGATTCACTTGAATTACCATTATAATAATCAGCTTCCATGCGTCCTCTCTGAACCTGTGGATAAAGGAGATAACTGAAAATCAGTCAGTCAGTGAAACAATCAATCCTTCATTCAGAGTATGTTAGCAAGAAGAAAGATAAATAATGCTCTACTATTAGAGTTTCTTTGATCTTAGCTAACACAGTCTTATTTTTCGAGCACAGAGTATTATTGTTGATTGAGAATTTCATATGGATGACCTTGTTTGGGTATAGTTTCTTTGGCAATCTGTGAGATTTATGTCATTGCTGTGTGTGGTATCTGTTTATGCACACAAGATATGTCTATTCTTTTTGTTGCTGAATAGTAGTTCACTAATTGAATATACCATATGAACATTAGACATTATAATTGTGGCAAAATTAAATAATGTTTCTGGCAACAATTTGAACAGGTCTTTTGGGAACAACACATGCTTTCATGTTTCTTGGCTCAATAGGCAGGGACGGAATCAACGTGTCATAGAGTAGATGTGTGTTTCTCTTGAAAGTAGCAAAATATTTCTCAAAGTGTACTCTAGAAAATAACAGAACCAAAAGCAAGTGTCCACCATTAGCACTTTTAGTTATGGATTGAAATTTAAAATTTAAATTACATACTCTTTTTTTTTTTTATGTCACAGGTTTCATATACTGAAAAAATGTGCTGATTGCTTCAAGTGTTGATAAAAACAAAACTTCTGGAATATGACATAGGAAGCCCAGAAAGGAAAATGTGTCTACTTTCCTGATAGAAAGATTACTTGGTATCTTTTTAGACATTCAGAAAGTGAGTCTTTAGTAACACTTACTAGGGAAAGGAAAAACTAGGATTGCAGACAATTCTTCATTTATAATAACACAAAACTTCAAGAATAGTTACTCCTATTTCATGGCACATGTTTCCTGTCAGTTAAGAAAGATTTGGTCCCTTATCAAACTGCAGGTATTAATCAATTTTCATCAGGCTAAAGAAAGTGGTTCTGTCGCTGGACTCTGCTCCTTTGCTCTGTACTCTATTTCCTGTCTATATGTGGGTGAGCAATGTCTAGGCAATTGTAGCACAACCTAGAGCTCAAGAACGTTCACCGCGGTCCTACTGTTCTATGTATTATCTTAGTCAACCCTTTATTTCCATATCTGTGTTGAGAAATTGACTTTATCGGTGGTAAGCCTTTTCACCCCCTTCCCTTCATTCTTTTCTTTCTCCTTTTCTGCCTTTCTCTTCTTCCTAACAATTATTTAAAGCTCTTTTGTACCTACATTCTTCAGTTTTCATGACTTATAAATATAACATTGGTACTTCTCTTCTTGAAGAAAATTCTTTGTGTAACTTTATTCTTTTTTAATATATCTAAAAAAATGTCCTGATAAGCTCACAATATATTATTTTATTTATGCATATCCTCAGTATTATTTTTACTAAATGAAAGCCCATGTAAAGCCAGACTTTAAAGTTGACAACCCTGTTTGAAATGGTTTTCCTTTCCTTCGTGTGCGTGATACTATGATTTGTAATTGTAAACATAGAACAGTTACATGCTCAATATAATATTTTTCCCAGTCTGTTTTGAATAAAACCACTGGATTGAGGTCACTGTTTTTTGTTACAGAAAAGTGATAATGTGATTTTCATACTTACAATTTGAGATCTGGTTATTCTGATGTGAAGACCACTATGGACTTTGGACTCTTTCTGGAATTATTTGTGGGAGTGAAATTGAAGTGGTAAGTCAAGAATTTTTCTCTGTAGCTCATCAGTAAAATTAAAATGAACATTTCTCCCTTTCATCATTGTTTCAATTGGGGTATGAACAGTGACTGCACAGATGGATCAGTCTATTGCTCTTACCATTAATTTCATTAGATTTGCAATTTTCTCCTAAGAAGACACTGCCTTTAGTGTTGCCCTGTTAAGCATCCTGCTAGAGTCCTGTAAATGCTATCATTATAAGCTCAACAAACTTGATCCTTTGCTTCATTTTCCTGAACATTGTTTATCCAGGGTCCTACATATGTGAGACACTTAATGAATGTGTAACAAACAGTAATTAGAACTCAAATGGTAAAAGGAAAGAATTAAAACTGAATTATAAATCACTGTCCTAAAAAGGTATCATCTCTTTTATGCCATAGAAAGTTTCCCCTTGATTGTTGTTCGTGGTTGTGGACTTTAGCGCATTACTATCATTGTATGGCTCTTTTCCACCACATAAGCCTTTGTAACTTACACAAGGCATCAAACAGCTATTATTTTTTGGGGGAGAGGAATTTGTGACAGGGTCCTACCGTGTAGTTCAGGTAGAACTTCAGTTTGCTATGTAATCAAGGCTGGCCTCAATCTCCTGCCTCAGCCTCCCCAGTGCTAGGATTACAAATGTGTGAGCCACCATACCCAGCTCACTGTTACTTTTTTATGCACATAAATTATATTTTCTTTTTGTCTTACTCTTACACTTAGATATGCCCAGAGACTTTCTACTTTACTAATATTGAATACCCAGCAAGTTTCTATTAAGCATTTAATCCATTTGAAGCAATGAAAGTCTTTGCTCTTCTCATAAGAAATAGTTTTCTCTAGCTATAAACCTACCTTTGTTTTGTTATCTGTTGAGATTTTTCTCCACTTCCCCACTCTAATTATAAATTTGAATTAGAGATCTGAACTGAATGGCTTAAATAACGTTGAATAATCTCAGTGTAAAAAGGAGTGAACATAAACTACACTGCATTCAGATTAAAGTTTCCCCAGGCAGCCGAAGTGTTTCCTCTTCATATTTAATCATCAACTGGGTGTATGGGAAGGGGATAGCCAAGTGAGAAGAATCATTTATTAACTAAATAATAAAGCAGAGCAAATTAAAATGGCTTTCTCATAACATTTTCCTCAGCTTCATAAAGGGCAGAGTTGACTTAGGAATTTGGGATGTGAGTCTCTTACACCCTTTCATACTGTTAAGCAATATTTTTCTACTTCATTTCAAAAGTCCATAATAGAAAAACAGACTGACGATTACCCTCCTGGGCCCCAATGTTCCATAATTAGCTGAATGTTCAGCATCTTAGTCTGTTTTAGCTACTAGAAACATTCATAAGCTAGGTATCTTATAAAAGAAACAAGTTTAGTTTTTAGTTTGGAGTCTGGGACTTCAAGAATGAGGCACTGGTATTAGGCATCTGGCCTTTTGCTCACTGATGATAACTCTTGGCTGTGAGCTCACATGGTGGTAGAGACAAACATGCTCCCTTGGGGCCCTTAGAAGAACTCTCGTCCACTTGTCATGGCTCAGCTCTCATGATCCTGTTACCTACTGTTGTGGTTTGGATTGGAATTGTCCCTCCAAAGTCATGTGCTCAGAAGTGGGTCTTTGGGAATGTAATGTGATTGTGAAGGGGTGGGGTTTGGTTGGAAAGGTGAGTCCCTGGCATGTGACCGGGAAGAGTAGGTTTCCTTTCTCAGCTTTTTGCTTTGCTGTCTTTTTCCTGGAATCCAAGGTGTGAGCAGCTCTCCTCCACATGAACCTCCCCACCATGCCAAGTTCTGTATTTGAAACAGCTGTGAATGGACTAAAACATTTGAAACTCTGAGTTAACATAAACCTCTCTTCCTTTAAGGTGCAAGTGTTAGGAAATTTTTCTCATCAAGAAGGAAGGTGACGAAGATACCTCTCCCAACCCTACCTGTTAACATTATCACCTTCCGCGGGGTTAGGATTTCAAAATGAATGTGGGGAAAACACATTTATGTCATAGCGCCCAGGAAGGTGAGATCTTCTGCATTCCTATAAGCACCTGGTACAGAGATGGTTACTCAGGATCTTCCTTTTTAAAGCATCCAGGAAAGAGTAGATGAGATTTAAATACCGCTAGCTGTCATTTTTAATGAGTGATAGCATTGCACAGTAGTTAAAACTGCACTTTGTATTATGAGTGCTAGGATTTTATGTTGGCAAAATACTTGCTGTAATCTGGGACAGTTAAACTTACTGGGGTTCAGCTTTCTTACCTGTGGAAAAAAAGGATAATAATAATGACAACCATATCAAGGGATTATACAGAGGATTAAATTATTCAGTAACATAAAATGTTTAAAATGTGCTGCTGCATTTGTAACAGTTCCCTCCCTTTGTCTTTGATTTTCTGAGGTGGCCTGGAATCACTTTGGAAGACTTGGGATAACTTCATCGATTCTCATGGCTTCAGTCCTTTAGATCCTGGTGCACCCAAGTAATCACAGTGCAGAAGAGGTAGGGTGGACATCACGGTTGCTTCTGCTGTTGAAGTGTAGCTATGTCTATAGAACTTTAGCAAAAATTCTCACTGGATATTTAAAGTACATGTTTGATGATCTAATGGAGACTTGATAAAGTATATTCAAAGTTCAAATTGGAAATGTGAAATTTTAAATGACATAAATGCCCATTATCTAGGGACCATCTAAGGATACTGACAAATTTAAACACGTCATTATAGGAAGGAATAAATGGAAATTTTTTATGCAGGCCATTTCTAATTTTTTTTTCTTTAGTGCTTACAGAAATTTGCTTGTCTGAATGTGCATAGAGCATCACATTCACTCCTCATGCTCAAGTTTTGGCAAATGGAACCATGAGGATTTTTATGAGGGTTTGCTGACCATTGGTGCCAGACTTCCCTGTTCCACTTCTGCCAGCTCCTGGCACTCATTAATGATCTTGTTACCTAGAATGGGTCATGAGAGCCTCAGCAAGGGTTATATCATCTCTCTGAAAATCTTAGGTTGGAAGGATTCAGTTCCATGAGTCTCTCTTTCTTCAGTTTCAGGAATTTGGACCTGGGATTGGTTGGCTCTGTTTTGCAGCACACAGGTTCTGATTTGTAATAGGGATCTTGGAAAATATTCAGACATCTGTTGGAAGGGAAGAACTGAGCCAGGATAACTGCTGGAAAGCAATTGACTTTTTGACAACAAAGACTGGTTGTCTTTGCCTCCACATATGCAACCCTGTGAAAAACGCAGAGAGAGGAATAATGAATGGTATGTGGCTTCTTATTTACCAGGAAAAGACTGTGCAGTTCTCTGGCATCTTCAAAAATCTAGCTGTGCCACTCAGCGGACATATGCATGGGAGCGATTATAAAACTGAGCAAATGGGCAACATTGAGGAGAAAGATCTCAGCGTCTATCAGAGTTGGTTGAATTAAATGAAGTGGTTTCTATATGAAACAAAACAAAACAGAAAATGATTGCAAAAGATAGAGAAAGCCAAGTGCCATATAAACGCACAAGCCCAAACCTGAAAGTATGATCTTTCTCATGCTGTTTCATTTTAAAATCAACACGTATCATAGAAGTGTTATTGGCAATTTCATCCAAAGCAAACTTTTCCTTCACATTATTTTGCAATCAAGTTGCATGTTTAATTGAAATCAGGCTTTAATGCTTATATGTATAAAGACTTATACTCTTAAACGAGATTTCCAAAATAGTTTTTTGATTGGGTTAGGCAGGGTACTACGTGAGTTGTTAGATCATTTAGCTGGTGGTAAGGAACAGATTTTCTTCTATCTAAAAATATAGTATGGATGTGGGAAATTTAAGAGTTAAGAGAAGAAATGGCTTTACATCTTGGTATTTTGGTAGTGTTTAAGAAGGTAAAAATCAGGACACATAGTTTAATTAGTAATGCATCAAATTCATTGTTGGTTAATAAAATGTATTCAGGGATTCCTGACTATAAGGCCCTTCTCTGGCTCTATGGTTACTTATGTATTAGATATGTTTCTTGACTTGGAGAATGCCACAAACTGATGAAAACTAATACTAAGCAAGCAAACATGACGAAACAGAATTATGCAGACAAGAGACATCAAAGATGGGTTATAGGCTGTCACAATTGGGGTTCCACTCTGGCTTTCGATGCTTAAGGGTGCTTTGATCTTTGGTTAATTATTTACTTCTCTGAGCTTCAATTTCCTGTCTTTCAAATAGAGGTGAAATTTTTATCTACCTTGATGTGTTGTTGAGAATGCCAAATGAATGAATTCCTGAGACATGTGTAACAGGACTTCAGCACATAATAAATCTTTAAAATACAGAAACGTACTAAGTTTGTGCCAGTCATTGATTAGGGAATGTACTACAAACGCTTTGCTTTCCCATAATATCCTATGCATGATAATCTCACTTGTGCATTTCCATTATTAATTCATCTAAGTGGCTGTAACTGTGTGCATGACAGTGCATGCATTCCCTGCTTTTGATTGCCATCTGTGAAATATTTGTATCTCCAGGCTTTACATCTAAATATCTTCAAATGCAAATGGCTGCTACTCTTAATTCTTCAATCTCACTTAAAACTCATTTTTTCCTCTTGAAATATTTTTAGCTTAGTTATATAATTTATTACAAAATCTTCAAATAAAGTTGAGTAAAGTAGAAACATCTTTTCCTTAAATAAGAGAAGTCTGAAATCAAGATATCCAGGGTGAGCATGACTGGGAATTTGGGTCATTTGAATTTTTGTTATCTTTAAAGTGTAGGTGTCTCCTTTCTATTCTAAGGTATCTGAACATTATTTGAGCACCCCAGCAATCAATAAAGTGGATGCGGTTTTAAAAAAGAAAGAGAAGACAAGAAAAAGAAACTCGAAATGAAGAAATCAAAGGTACTCCTTGGATATCTGCTGAGGAAGTTTGTCCTTTAGATAGATCAGAACAATTCCTATATCTTTTTTGGTTATAACTTATACACGTGGGCCAAACCAGTCCCAGTAAATGCTGAACAACAGCCATGTGAGTAGCTAAGAATGAACACCATCAGCAGTCACACAGTTTGCATTGAGTGGAAACTCAAAGAAAGGAAATGGAGGCCAATGTTGACTGCCACCTACTGGATACTTCACTTTGGATTTTTTTTTTTTTTTTTTTTTTTTTTTTTCTTTTCTTTTCTTTTTTAATCCTTTAGTTTAGGTCTTAGGGACTCAGATGTTTCAGAAACAAATGAGTCTGTTTCTACTAGCAACAGTGTTGTGCTTACAGACTGAATGGGAGAATGCTGTCTTTAACCAGTGCAGCAATGAATCTTGCTAACACTGAAAGGATATATAGAAGAAAAAATCACATAGATGTATGGAAAAAGGAAAAGATGGCACGGGAAAGGGACCATTTCAATGAACAGTAGCTGTCCACAGAATCGGGAGAAGAGACTATATCTTAGAATATAGGATTAGGATTTACTGAAATGAACAGTTAGATGATAACTGATATGTTTTAGAAATATTTGGTCTGAATGTGTCTTATCCTTCTTACCACCATGTTATTATAACTGACACTTCATATATATATATATATATATATATATATATATATATATATACTATAATGGCTTGCACATAATGAAAGCTAAATAAAATTTAAAAACTATCTTATTGTTTTTGTGTTTTAAATACAAAAGTCACTTAAGTGATTAACCTTAATTTTTACCTTTAAAGATAATATGTGGAGTGGAAAGAGAAGACTTTTATAAAAATGTAGTCTAAGATTCAACTATGACTAAGATTAAAAGATTTGCATTTTCTGAGTTCCTTTATTATTTGAGTCTTCCTTCTAAATGTATTTACAGTTCATCTCAGTGTCTGACACCAAAACATTTTATGTCTCAAGCTAGTTTTTTTTATTATGACACCCATTCAAGTTAGTATTTATTCATATATTATTTTTTGGCTTAGTATTATTTATTCTTTAATATTTTAGGACATTATATTACATTCTATTATCCAGTGACATCTGTAATTTTTGACATCTGTAATTATATAGTTTTGTAGATGATCTGTGTTGTCTGTATGCTTATAGATTTTTCTTTTGTCTTTGGTGTTTTTATATATATTTTTAAATTTTATTTGAAGAAAGACTAAACAAAACAGAAAATGGGTAGAAATGATACATACTTTCAAAGAAAAAATAAACAGTAAGAAATCACTAGTTGATGATTAAATATTGTCTTCTTAAAAATAGTTGTTCAAGATACAAAGGTGAAACACACAATAGGGATTCAAACAGTGAGGCTGAAAATGGTTCTGTTCAACTATCCAACAAAAACTTAGTAATATGGTTATCAGTCCTATACACTAAAACATACATGCAGTTGTCCATATCTTCCTTTATGTTGAGATTAACAAACCATAGCAGGCTAACATTACTCTAAATAAAGAATAATAGTATTGCTGAATTTCACATCATGACACTCCAGGATCAGCACTGGGTACTGTAGTGTCTCTTTTTCTTCAAAGTACATTTCATCATGCATTATAAGATCAGTTCTTGTAAACTGTTTATAGGTTCTATGCATGCATGAGTCTTAACATGTACTTCTATTCTTTCTATATTAGAGGGAGAAACAAAACAAAACAAGACAAAACAAAACATATTCCTATAAATGCATGAAATGAAAAAGACATATAAAAGCACTGTACAAGGAGTTCTACAATGGTTACTCTGCTGTCTCTTGTTATCTTCAATAGAATTATCTGTATCATCAGACATAGTATAATTGAATATAGCAGTACATAACAATATTAATAAAAATGAAACTTTGTGGATAGTGTGAAACTTCAAAAACAGGTAATAATCCAACCAGAATGGGTATCGTAGTGAATCTTGTTATCTTCAGTGTAGTTGCCTATATTCTCAGAGTTGATACTATCAATCATAACAATTTTAAATAAAATCTGTCAATACCAAACAGCAATTAAACAAACCAGATTTAACTAAGATCAGTCAAGATAAAACGTATAAGTTCTACAGAGATCCAGATTGTTAATAGGAAATTAAAGATGATTATTGTACATATCATGTTATTTTTGGGATAGCTGTCTGTGCCCTAAGATCTAGTGCAAGTAGACAAACTGAGACAGAATAAGCAGAGCAGTGCCAGTAATGTGGGTTTTAAATCCTGATACACTGTTAACAATATCATCTGCCATCTTTCTTAAGACTATACCTCCCCTTTCACTCCCCCAGAGTGCACTGTGCATTTTTGGGTCTCGTCAACATCCTCAGTTTTTAGATTGGGGGTGCAACATGCTATTTACCTAAGTGGTTCTGAGCTTTCTCCCTCTTGGAATTGATCTCTAGTTGTATTCCTTTACCTATTAAAGCCTGTCTTTCCAAACTGTCTACAAACACTGATCAAGTTGCCACTATTACTCTCTGGTCCCCTGTCACATAGAGCATTGTGTATCAAGGCCATCTATATTAGATACTATAGCCAACCTTCTCTGCCTCATTTCTGTTGTGCTATTTTTCTGCCATTAGTTGTCTGCTTTTCTCCTTCATTTCACTTTCTGCTTCATTCATTGAGGCCTCTCTGCTACTATTCTTGGAATCCTGGTACTTTTCTCTCTCTCTAGAATGTCCTTCAGTATTCTCTGTGGAGTTGGATTGATGGTCACAAATTCCCCCAGTTCCTCTTTGTCTTGGAAGCATCTTGTTTCTCCATTAATTTCTAGAGACAGTTCTTTCAGGGTACATCAATCTGGGCTGGAGGCTACTTTCTTTCAGGGCTTGGAATACTTTGCTCCAAGCTCTTCTTGATTTGATGGTCTGTGTCAAAAAGTCTGTAGTGATTTTGATGGGTTTTCCATTATAGGTGATCTGTTTTTTTGTCTGACAGCTTTTAATATTCTGTTCTTATATTGAATTTCTGGGATCTTGATTATTATATGCCTGGGTGTAGCTCTGTTTTGGTTGTAGGTGGCTGGAGTTCTGTATGCCTCATACATCTGCATGTCATTTCCTTTTCCTATGTTTGGGAAGTTTTCCTTAATTATTTCTGTGAATAACCTTTGCAGTTCCTTTGTTTGTACCCCTGCTTCTTTATTCACATTCTTTATTCTTAAGTTATAGATCCTCTTGTCATTTTCTAGCTTTTTTATTGTTACTGCCTGTTTCCTTGTTATTTTTAAGAAAATTTTCCTTTCATGATCACACATTGCAGACCTGGTCTTCAAGTTTTGATAGTCTATACTTAGTTTCTTTCAAGCAGTTTTGCCAACTTTCAATGGAGTTTATTATTTCCTGGTCATCTCTTTGAATCTGTTTCATGTATTCTGCGTTTTATTTATATTGTTCATCCAACATTTCTTGCCTTTTTCTGTGCTCCTCCATTCTTCTGTCTTTGTCTTCTTTAGAGGTGCTTAGCATTTCTTTTATTAATCTACTTATATTTTGCTTTACTTGGTTAAATATTTCACTTTTGAGTTTGTCTATGAGGTCCCAAAGATATCTCTTTATGTCCACTGATGCCATTTCTGATATTGCATGTTTTCTGTCCTCAATCTCCTTTGTATTTACCTCTACTGGATCAATGTTCTCAGGGTTTGGGGCTGGGAGCATTTTCTTGTTGATTCCTCTTCTCATGTTTTTGGTTTCTTCCATACAGGTATATAGAGGAGGTCCCAGTCCCTTTCCTTGTTGGTTATGGTTCTTTTGAAGTGCACTGGCTAGGTAAAGCTGCCCACTCCAGTGCATTATTGAGGTGTAAGCAGAGGTGGCATATATTGGCTCCTCCCCTCCAGTTCAGTCAACCTGCTGAGGCCTTTACTGTGTTATTGTGTGCTGCATGTAGGGAATATTTTGGGATAACTTACTGGGTCTCAGCCAGGGATATGACCCAGGCCAATCATACCCCACCAATCTCATCTATGAAGGGAACAAGTGACTGAAGTCACTGCTTTTCCTTGTTCTTGCCAGTCCTCCCTGATTCCAAAAAGTCATCCCATTTGTGCCCCTTTCCCATGGAAGGGTTTTATTCCCAACACTCACCGCAGATCCATGCAGGTCCCTTGCCGGCTCTATTCTCTGTTGGGCTTGCCAACTCCAACTTCAGTGCGACTGCACTTCAGTGTGACTGTGGTTCCAGCAAGCAGAAGTGGCAAAAATTTGGGCATATGAGAGCATGGAATCTTAGCAGCCTCAATAGTAGCCCCGGGACTCCATGTTTTGCTGGTTCTTTTCACTTTAATTTTTTCCTGGGTCAAGAAGATCCATCTTCTTCTGTCCGGAACTCCCCACAATGTGTTATTTTGGCATCTGAATTGTCTGTCTTAGGGAGCCTCTGTATTCTGCTCTTATCTGTATGCCATCTTTACTGGAAGTTCGGTGTTTTTATATTTAACTTTATCTGTTTCTTTGCCAATGCATGAGTTATTTAAATTTGAAAATTTCCACCTTTTATCTTTTTCTATATCTTTTATTTCCTGAGACTCTTATTATTCACTATTGGCATATCTACCTCTATCTGTCTTCTCCATTTTGTTTTGCTCCCTTGGGGCAGTTCATGCATCTAGGCTAATTCACTCCTTTGTTCTTCAGAAGATAACATATTATCACTACACTTCACTTTCCTGTTTTAAAAATTTCCTATGTCCTAAGTATGAAAGCTGTCACCCATATTTTATCTTATCTGTGTCTGTTTCAGCATGTCTGCTCTAAGTTTTCCAGGAATTCATTTTGTATTTAAGGGTTATACCTCAGGCGTCCAATTACTTCTGCCTGTGTTACTATGCTCTGTTGGGTAGGAGTACTGGCCATGCTGTCTGGATTGTGTATTTGTTTGTAATATTTGCTAATTCTATGAGTCTAAGATCCTCTTTGGTTTCTGTAACTT